TCTTGTAGACCAGGCTGGCCTCGAACTCCCAGAGATCTGCCTGCCTCTGCCTCCTGACTGCTGGGATAAGGTCCTCCTTTTTTACCTAGCTTCTCGGGGTTGTGGCTTATAGCTTGGTTATTCTTTATTTTATGTCAAATATCCACTTTTTAGTGAGTATATATTATGTTTGTCTTTTTGGATCTGGGTTACCTCACACATCACTCAGGATGGTTTTATCTAGTACCATCCATTTGCCTGCAATTTTCAAGATGTCATTTTTTCACTGCTGAGTAATACTCCATTGTGTAAATGTACCACATTTTCTTTATCCATTTGTTGGTTGAGGGACATCTAGATTGTTTCCAGGTTCTGCCTATTACAAATAGTGCTGCTATAAACATAGTTGAGCAAATGTCTTTGTGGTATGACCGTACATCCTTTGAGTAGATGCCCAAGAGTTGCATTGCTGGGTCTTGAGTAGAATGATTACCAATTATCTGAAGAAACCACCATGCTGATTTCCAAAGTGGCTGTACAAGCTCCACCAGCAATGGTGAATGTGCTTACTTCACATCTTCTCTAGCATAAGTGGTCATCAGTGTATTTGATCGTAGTCATTCTAAATAGGTATAAGTTGGCATCTCAGAGTCATTTTGATTTGCAATTCTCTATGGCTAAGGATATTGAGCAGTTTTTTAAATGCCTTTCAGCCATTTGATATTCTTCTGTTGAGAATTTTCTGTTTGGACCTGTACTCCATTTTTAAAACTGATATATTTGGTAGTTTGGTTTCTAGTCTCTTGAGTTCTTAATGGACTTTGGAGTTCAGCCCTCTGTCATGTGGGGTTGGTAAATATCTTTTCCCATTGCGTAGGTTGCCATTTTGTCTTATTGACCTTGTCTTTTGCTTTACAGGAGATCTTCAGTTTCAGGAGTTCCCACTTATTAATGGTTGCTCAGTGTCCGTGCTACTGGTGTCATATTTAGGAAGTGGCCCCCTGTATCCATACGTTCAAGGCTATTTTCCACTTTCTCTTCTGTCAGGTTCAGTGTGACTGGATTTATGTTGAAGTCTTTGATCCATTTGGACTTGAGTTTTGTGCATGAGTAATAAATATGGATCAATTTACTCTTCTACATGTTGACATCCAGTTATTTCAGCACCATTTGTTTAATATGTTTTTCTTTTTTCCATTGCACAATTTTGGGCTCTTTGTCAAAAATCAGGTGTTCATATGTGAATTAATATCAGGGTCTTCAATGCAATTCCATTGATCCATATATCTGTTTTTATGCCAGTACCAAGCTGTTTTTATTACTATATCTCTATAATAGAGCAGGAAGTCAGAGATGGTAATGCCTCTGGAATTTCCTTTATTGTACAGAATTGTTTTAGTTATCCTGGGTTTTTAAGTTTTGCATATGAAGATGAGTATTGTTCATTTGAGGTCTGTGAAGAACTGCAATGGGATTTTGATGGACATTCCATTGAATCTATAGATTAGTTTTGGTAAGGTTGGTATCTTTGCTAAATTGATCCTACCTATCCAAGAGCATGGAAGATCTTTCCATTTTCTGATATCTTCTTCAATTTCTTTCTTAAAAGACTTAAATTTCTTTTCATGCAGGTCTTTCACTTGTTTTTTTAGAGTTACCTCAAGATATTTTATGTTATTTGTGGCTATTGCAAAAGATGATATTTCTCTCTCAATCTATTTATTATGTGTATTTGCAAAAGATGATATTTCTCTGATTTCTTTCTCAATCTATTTATTATGTGTATATAGTAGCACTACTGATACTTTTTAGTTAATCTTGTATCTTGCAACATTACTGACAGTGTTTATCAGCTGTAGTAGTGCCCTAGTAGAATGTTTGGGGTCATTTAGGTATACTATCATATCATCTACAAATAGTGGTAGTTTGACTTCTTCTCTTCCAATTTGAGTCCCTTTTATCTCCTTTGGTTGTCCTATTTCTCTAGTTAAAATTTTGA